ACCTTTGGGGATCACCTGCTCTTGGTGACAGTTCAGCCAGAACACTGCACTAAAGATGTCCACCTTATGATTCTCTCAATAGATGCAGAAAAAGCATTTGACAAAATTCAACACCCTTTTATGATAAGAACGCTTAACAAAATAGGCATAGATGGGGCTTACCTAAAATTGATACAAGCCATTTATGACAAACCCACAGACAACATCATATTGAATGGGGAAAAATTGAAAGCATTCCCACTTAGAACTGGAACCAGATAAGGTTGCCCACTATCTCCACTTCTATTCTACATAGTGCTGGAAGTCCTGGCCACAGCAATCAGGCAAGAGAGTGGGATTAAAGGCATACAAATGGGAACAGAAAAGATCAAACTCTCACTATTTGCTGATGACATGATATTATATCTAGAAAACCCCATGGATTCAACCAAGAGGCTCCTGGAATTGATAAATGAATTCAGTAAAGTCTCAGGATATAAAATCAATACACACAAATCAGAGGCTTTCATATACGCCAATAGCAGTCATACCGAGAACCAAATCAAAGACTCAATTCCCTTCACAATAGCAACTAAGAAAATAAAGTATCTAGGAATATATTTAACTAAGGAGGTAAAAGACCTCTACAGGGAGAACTATGAAACATTGAGGAAGGAAATAGCGAGGACGTAAACAGGTGGAAAACCATACCATGCTCGTGGGTCGGCAGAATCAACATCGTTAAGATGTCTATACTACCCAAAGTGATCTACAGATTCAATGCAATCCCTATTAAAATACCAACATCATTCTTCACAGATGTAGAAAAATTGATTTTACGCTTTGTATGGAACCAGAGAAGACCCCGCATAGCAAAAACAATTCTAGGCAATAAAAACAAAATGGGAGGTATCAACTTACCAGACTTCAAACTTTATTATAAGGCTGTCGTAATCAAAACAGCTTGGTACTGGCACAAATATACAGCCATTGACCAGTGGAACAGAACTGAGAACCCAGATATAAAACCGTCCTCCTATAGCCACCTAATCTTTGACAAAGCAGACAAAAACATACACTGGAGAAAAGAATCCTTATTCAATAAATGGTGCTGGGAAAACTGGATAGCCACATGTAGAAGACTGAATCAGGATCCACACCTTTCACCTCTCACAAAAATCAACTCACACTGGGTAACAGATTTAAACCTAAGGAGTGAAACTATTAGAATTCTAGAGGAAGATGTTGGAAATACTCTTCTAGACATTGGCCTAGGCAAAGAATTTATGAAGAAGACCCCAAAGGCAATCACAGCAACAACTAAAATAAATAAATGGGACCTGATCAAATTAAAAAGCTTCTGCACAGCCAAAGAAAACGGTCACAAGAGCAAACAGACAACCTACAGAACGGGAGAAAATTTTTGCATGCTATAAATCCGATAAAGCGCTGATAACCAGAATCTACTTAGAACTCGGGAAAATCAACAAGAAAAAATCAAACGACCCTATCAAAAAGTGGGCAAAGGACATGAACAGAAACTTTTCAAAAGAAGACAGAATAATGGTCAAAAAACATATGGAAAAATGCTCAACATCTCTAATCATCAGGGAAATGCAAATTAAAACCACAATGAGGTCGGGCGCGGTGGCTCACGCCTGTAATCCTAGCTCTCTGGGAGGCCGAGGCGGGTGGATTGTTTGAGCTCAGGAGTTCAAAACCAGCCTGAGCAAGAGTGAGACCCCGTCTCTACTAAAAATAGAAAGAAATTAATTGGACAACTAAAAATATATAGAAAAACTAGCCCGGCATGGTGGCGCATGCCTGTAGTCCCAGCTATCTGGGAGGCTGAGGCAGTAGGATCGCTTGAGCCCAGGAGTTTGAGGTTGCTGTGAGGTACGCTGACGCCACGGCACTCTAGCCTGGGCAACATAGTGAGACTCTGTCTCAAAAAAAAAACAAAAAAAAAAAACCAACCACAATGAGATATCACTTATCTCCAGTGAGACTGGCCTTTGTCAAAAAGTCCCAAAACAATAAATGTTGGCGTGGATGCGGAGAGATAGGAATACTCATGCACTGTTGGTGAGATTGCAAACTAGTGCAACCTCTGTGGAAGATATGGAGCTATCTTAAAGAGATAGAAGTACCACTCGATCCAGCAATCCCATTACTGGGCATCTACCCAAAAGAACAAATGATACTCTATAAGAAAGACACCTGCACCCGAATGTTTATAGCAGCACAGTTCACAATTGCAAAGATGTGGAAACAACCCAAGTGTCCATCAATACATGAGTGGATTAATAAAATGTGGTATATGTATACCATGGAGTACTATTCAGCTTTAAGAAACAATGGTGATATAGCACCTCTTGTATACTCCTGGATAGAGCTGGAACGCATTCTACTAAGTGAGGTATCCCAAGAATGGAAAGACAAGCACCACATGTACTCACCATCAAATTGGTATTAACTGATCAACACATAAATGCACATATAAGAACAACATCTATTGGATGTTGGGCAGGGGGGAGGGGGGAGGGGACGGGTATATGCATACACAAAGAGTGCAATGTGCACCACCCGAAGGATGGACATATTTGAAACTTGGACTTGGGCGTTGGGGCAAGGGCAACATACATAATCTAAACATCTGTACCCCCATAATATGCTGAAATAAAAAAAAAAACAAAACGAAACAAACAAAAAGATGTGCACCTCCAAAATAATGGTCTGATTCAAGGGATTAGGGTTTTTCTCAACTCCTAGGTACTCTAAATCTGAGCACTCATGTCTGCGAACTTCTCTGCTATCATCCCTGTCCCTTCCCCCACAGAAAAATCCAGTTAATTTGTCTTTTTAAAGTCTTAAAGATATTAGGAAAGTGTGGGAAAGATTTTAGGAAAGAGGAGGGAAAGGAGATTTCTTTGGTACCCTTTATTCGCTATTTTGGTCTACAGAGTCCATGGGTCTTTATCAGTAAAATGGCATTTTATAAAAATACTACTCCTGCACAATGCTTATACTGTGGGAGACTGTGCACCACCAATTTTTTTTTTTTTTTGGCTCATTTCTTGCCCTTCTCTACAAATGCTGTCTCTCGCCAGTTCTCCCACTTCCTCCCCACACCCCAGTACAGCCTTCGGCTCCTCTGAGGGACAGGTCAGGGTCACAGGCAGCACAAGCAGGGAATCATAGCTCATAGCCTGACAAACTCTGTAGTCTGCTCTCTTCAAGTGAGGGACAGGAATATTGGCAGCAATGCCGTTTAGCATGGAGAAACTTGGAGCACATTAAATTTGGGGGTTTGATTTTTTATGAGGGCTAGCCAGCTAGTTAGCACCACCCAGAAGAAAATGCTCTTTTACAAAATTGCCCCACGCCCCATCCCTATTCAAAATGAGCCAAACTATTCAAAAAAAGCACTGTTAGTCATGAGAACAGTCAGTGAATGTGCAATCTCATTATCACCACTGGGAAAGAGCTCAAAGCACATATTCTGACAAAGGGTCAGTAGATCATTTTAAAGATCTGTGTATTCACAGAAGAACCACTGATGCTAAGAGACAGATGTGGAAGAAAGCATGTGTAAGGCTCCAAAGGATAGCTCATAAACGTAGCTTTTAGTTTTTATTTTCAGGCTGCTACAGAGTTGTCCAAAGATCTTTGCTTTCTAAATGCTAAGACTTTTATGGGAGAGTAAAAATTCTTAGTGTACTTTGTGCTTACTATACATACCTGAAAATGTGACCAGAAACAATTAGAAATATAGTACAAAAGTGGGCTTTTCTGCAAAAGAGACTACAATGATAAAATGTATTAAATCCTTTCAAAAGGGACCACAGCAAAGCAGTGTGAGTGGCTTTTACTAAAGACTTAATGAAGGTGGAGCCGTGTGTTACTAGCTGTGTGCCCTTGAGCACGTCCCCTAAATGAAACATGCCAGCATATGGATTCCTCCTGTGCATAGAAGAGATTTTTAGACCAGAGGTTTTCAAACTGTATTCCATGGAGTCCTGTGGGGACCTGGGGTGTGTGCACGGCAGGGGAAAGCAAGGAGTGGCCCAGCCCTACCGCTTGTCTAACCAGAGCAGCTCTGTTTGCACGTATTTTATATTTACAGATTGAGTTCATTTGCAAAAAGGACCTTGATGCTACCAAAAAAGGCCAAAAACCACTGCATTAGATGATATGTAAGGTTATTTCTACTTATAATAATTATCCCTCTCTGAGATGCAAAAGGACTACCAAATAATATCTATTAGAATGGTTGCAAAATTATGCCCATATTGGCTCTAAAATGTATTTATTAACTTTTGAACTATGGGACAATGGTTTCTATTATGTGATACATATGTAGAAAATGTTTTTATGCTATTCATATTTTCAAGTGATTCTATTACTCAATAAGTGACTACTAAGTAACTCCTGATTCTTTAAAAAAAAAAAAATTTCAACAGAAATTTTATTTCCTACTTACAATTTCTGAATAGAATCCAAGGTGTTACTTTATACAAATCCTATTTCCATTACCTGTCAAATCCCTTGTGTTTGGAAAAGTAAAGACATTGGTCTAAGTATCATTGGTACATGATATACACATAACCAAATGGCCTTATAATTTATTCACTATATATGCAAATGGCTCTGAAAGTATTTTTATGCCAGAATCTGTGACTCTGGATTTTACTTTCCCTCTTACATAAGGAAGCGACAGGGATTGCTAGATAAGGAAGGAAGATAGTATGCTCAATTAATATTTATGTGTGATAACTGAGTGGGATTATTTTAACTTGAATTTCCCCAGCAGTCATTTTTCTTTGTCACACATGCAACTCCTTCAGCTTGACCCCTCATGTCAGTGGAAATAACTTTTTTCTCAGGCCTGGGAACAACTCGGCAGGGAGTATGTCTGCCAGACCCGGGCTCTGGAGTTCACAGCATCTGACACCCCTGCCTTGTCCACACCCCATGGCCTGCCTTAGGGCTCTGCCACATGTTCTGAAAAAGGCACGCACCTCGTCTTCCAGTCCTCTTCCGACTTGGACCTATTTTTGCGGGCTGCTCTTTGTTTTTCCTCAAGTCGTTTCTTTTCTTCACTAGCTTGATCTGAAATAAGAACATCGATAAAAAGTGTTTATTCACTATGCAGAGGATTCAGGCACAGTACTGAGCACACTAGCTTTATGGAAAGGCCCCAGCCACATGTATTAGCATGATCAATACTTTATTAGAACACAAACACCACAATCAAACATCAAGTTAAAATTTTAACACATATCCAAGCTAGTAAGAGGCAGCGCTGGCATTCAAGACACAGACAGCTCTTCTGACAGCCTGTTCCCTTAACCACCTTTGCATTTACCAAAAGAACCTGTTTATTCTTTGGCCAAAAAAATTGTTAAAAATCCTTCAATGACAAATTGGATGTAAAACCTGAATGTGAAATCCTGAATTTTTAGCAAGACCTCAGAGCTTTTTCAGATTCCATTCATAAGAAATTTAAACAATTTTCCAAAATACTGTTGCTCTGTCTCACTAAGAGGATCTGGAAATTCAGGTGGAACAGTTTTTTTCAACCTTGGCACTAATGACATGTTGGATCTGATGCCGTGTGCATTAGAGGACATTTGGAAGCACCGTTGGCCTCTAGATGCCCCTAGCACCTTCCCAGATGTGACAACCAAAGTCTCCAGACCTTGCCACATGTTCCCTTGGCGGGGCGGGGGGGATTGCCCCCCTTTTGAGAACTACTGAGTTAGAAGAAATTTAACACTTCCAGATAAAAATATAAGTAACCAAGGGGAGGCCATACTCTTCTCTATGAGGCTCACAAGGTGATAAATTCTGAAATATATAGTGACATAATTAGTCAGAATACAGTTTAAAGTTGATAAAGATGCTACTCTTTTCTCAAATTCTCCTCTGACATTTAAGATTCACCTCTGGTCACATGTACAGATCAATTATCAGGGAGGTATTACTGAAATAATGAATATGAGCTAGTAAGGTCTACCTCAGATTTCCAAACTTAAAACAAAAGTTACTGAATTTAAATTGAATTATAATTCAAAAATCTGAGAGAGACTAAAAATGTTAGGACCCCAAATGATGCTAACAGTCACCAGGAATAAAACAAACCACCATCCCCAAAGAGATTAATCTTCCCCGGTAGCGTCATCAGGTGCCAGGTACCTATCTCTCCATTTTCCATGGCTCTGATGTCAGGCCGCAACCTGCAGTCCGTCTTAGGAATCACACTCTCCATTTCCTTGTCTACTTCATTCAAAACCATTGCAAAACTAGTAAAATTATACATCTGAAAAGAAGAAAAATGATGGAATTAACACACACCAAGGCCTAATGCAAAATGGAAGGCCCTGAAAGTAGAAGGGGTTTGATGTGACAGTGACCCCTCCGTTCTGTGGTAAGGGTGCTCACCCTTTCTCAGATCACACATATCTAAGTGCCTCCCCCCAAATCTGCACAACCTGTGGGTATTTGTCTCAAAGAAATCTCAAAGCAGGCCTCACAGAATAAATATCCTCTATCACTAGCAACTTTAAGTAGAACTATAAGCAAAATCAATGTTCTTCTTTATTCTTCATTAAATTCATTCTGTGCTGGGTCTAGAGGGCTTCTACTGACCACACTGCATCATCTTGTACTTATCAAGGGCCAAGCATACCCCTAAGTAACTATTAAAGGAGCCCCCATGAGGTCCCACTCAGCACGTCCTCCCAGAGGACACCAGAGGGACAGACAGCATGGACGTGTGGGCCTCAGGGTGAGAGGGGGACACGTACACAGGCACCAGCTGGGGGACAACCGAGGGGCGTTTTGACGACTACTGGGGCCTAGGTCTCAATGCTGCCTGGCCTGGCTCTGTACACATCCTGGAAAGAGTACTGAACAGAAACAGTGAGGCCACATTCGGCAAAGCCATGCCACACCTGGGCAGAATTTGGAGGCCGTGGGGCTATTCGCCACAGGAGAACGCTTCCGGGGATGATGAACACACTTTCAGAATCTGGCATTGGCATCTCATCGGACTCCTCAGCAGTGCTCATCTAGAAAAGCCAACAGATGAACAGAATCTAAGCAAAACGTTTTAAAAAACAGCCATGTGCCACTCAATGATGTTTCAGTCAGCGACAGACCATACATACGGCTGTGGTCGCATAACATTATAATGGAGCACAGGTAGAAAACTGACGTTGATACTGGCATTGCAGATCAAGTAGGGGAAATGACTGATTGATGTTCAGTAATGGTCCTGGGACACTTGGTTTTCCACGTGACAAAATATATATAAATAGAAACATAGATACTAGGTTTGTGTAAGTACACTGTATGATGGTTACACAATGACAAAATTGCCTGATGATGCATTTCTGAGAACATATCTCTGTCATTAAGCAACACGTGACTATATATGCACACTCACAAATTTTACAATAACCATCATTTATTGCACACCACTAGAATGTAAACCACCTAAGGGCAGGGACATTATGACTTCCTAATTCTTATATCTTTACCTTTGTAGGGAGCCAATAGATACTTTCTGAATGCCTGATAAGTGCTATGAGTCTCGTGAACTTTATGTGTTGTTTCATTGAGTGTTACTTGCATTTAATGCATCATCATCATCACTCTATCCTACAGTGTTTTGTTTTTAAAGCTTTTATTTTTTTAAAACGAAATAACTCATTTCAGTATGTACTGAGGAACTTCTAAATGCTCTGCACTGGGATGCCAGAGAAGTACAGAACTGCCTGACTTTCGAGGGACTCACACACCAGAGAGGCACAGACAATACGCGGAACATTCTGAAAACAACGAAAGGTTACGTTCTTGGGGCAGTTAGCTAAATTTATCAATGACACAAAACCAGTAGGGATCCTGAATGCATTTGATAAAAAGAGAATTTTAAAAGAAATCAGGCTAAAAATGAAACCAACATTTCCTTTGGCTACCCTCCCCATGGGCAGAGCTATGCTAGGTGCTCCATATGCTTAGTCTTCGTGTAGTAAACCTATGAGGAGATATTACTACTGCAGTTTTATACATAAAGTGTTCAAGGCTTTGGAAGGTTAATACCTCCAACATCACACAGTTAACAAATCTAGAACTATTGGTTGAGATGCTTTCAGTGAATGTATAGTTTAGAAAACAGCAAAGAGGTGACAATGTTGATGACAAAAACTTCCCACGGCATATGAGCATGTTCAGGAATGTCAGAAATCTATGACAGGCAGATGCACACAGGAAGGAAAGAGACCAGGCAGAGTGGATGTGTGAGAATATTTATTCTCTCCAAGGGGGAAAGGCCACTTTTCTAGAAGACTGACTGGGATTTATGGGACGTAAGGAATATTTTCTGGAATTTCACCAATGTCCTTTGCTGTCCCCGCTCTGTGAAAGAAGGCCGGATGACAAGCGTGTTGGCAAGGTTGTCTTTCCCACATTGCCTCCTGTTGGCAGGAGTTGTGGCTAAGGAGTTTGTGTCGGGGGTCCCAGGACCCTGAGATGTGTCCTTCTCCAGCCCTTCAGTTTCCCACCAGTCGCAGAGAAGAGCTGGTATGCCTCACCGAGTGGAAACATAGGTGGCACCCAGGCTGTGAGGGGGACAGCAGAACTGTGCACATACAGCTCAAGGGAAATAGAAAGAAGCAGCCCCAGCCACAGGAAGCAGCATGCTCCGGCCATTTAACAATACTCTTCTCACCTCAGGACCATGGTTAACTCCATTTACAAAGAAAGTCACTAATAGATACATCTTCCACCTTCAAGGAATATCAGGGCTTCTTAAACTTTCACAGGCATAAGAAACACCTGAAGGGCCTCAGAGACTGCTGTTCAGTAAGCAGGTCTGAGGCGGGGCCTGGGGCATTTTAAACAAGTTCGCAGATGATGCTCAAGTTGCCAGTCCTGGAAGTCCTGTCAGCAGAAAGGACATTACCAGTCCTTACGATGAGCAGATGCTGCGCTGAGCCCTTTCTGGGGCATAGCGGCGGGCAATCTGCCTAAGCTCACACTAGCCATACATGGTGGGGATGAGATTCTAACCCAGAGTTTGCACTCTTAACCATGAGGCTGGTTGAGAAAGAAATCAGTCCTCAAACACGTATTTTCTGTCCAAACAGGTGCAATCTTTCTTCAGCTTTCAGCGTTTCTGCCTGGAGGGAAGGGACAGGAGTCTGATGACCATGAGAGCCTGCTGGGGGCCATGTGACAAGAAGCCATGTGCCTCGCTTGCAGGAAATTCTATCTGGACGTTAACTATCGTGCAAAGAAGAAAATTTAGTACGAAGAGGACAGCAGCCCAGGGATGACTCCTTCAACTATGATGGTCTTTACTTTAGTGATTTTTGTGATAAGGTAACAAAACTGATAAGAAGCATGAAAAAGTAAGAGAGAATTTTGGAGGAAATTTTAAATATTCAAACAATTTCAACCTCTAATGCATATAAACAGAAGGAAAAGAAAATTTGTCTCACTAAGATGAACTCCAACTTTCCAAAGCTGCATGAATTGAATCAAAATCTCAGGTATAACTGCTGCACAACTATAAAACTCATACATATCCATATCCTATATAAGATTATGACAAACATTTGCTACTAAGGCAGACAGTTGCTCATTAAAAAGATGCAAAGAGAAAAGTTACGTGCACTAGCCAAAAGAAAAAAAAAAAACAGTCAAACTGTGACCCGGTAACAGGCCAACTCCAAAAGGATGAGCACAAATTGAAGAGTCCAGTTATTCCTTAGATACCACCTGACAGGATGTTCACCTGTTTGCTGTTTTTCTTCTCTTCGGTATTTTTCTTATCATTTTTTTTGTAAGCATCAAAAGTGGCAGGATCAACACTGTATAAACATTCAGTCCACTTCCCATAAAGCGCACAGAGCTTCTTTTTGCTGTCAAGAGAAATTGATATTTAGCCAACAATTAAACCAGTGTTTTGCAGTAACTGAATATTGCTATAGAGGTTTGTATGAATCAGATTCTTTAAAGAAATAGATACTTCCTTGTAGAAGAAAGATTTTTTTCAACTTCTTAGAACGCTTATTTCTATACCATGACAGCATATTTTAATACCGACATTTTATCTAGTGAACATCATCTATACTATTCAACACTTAAAATAGAAATTTTACCTTTTATCTTGGATGTAGCCTTCAACTTTGTGTAATTCCTTACCAAAAAGGCCACATGGCTTAAAATTCAACACACACTTGTCCCCAGTCCTATAAAGGAAATACGAAATTCAGATTACCATTCGAAAGAAGCAGTAGAGAATAACTGTGATAACCTTTCTAGCAACAGCTGTTTACTGACTTTTAATACATGCCAGCTCCATGCATAAGTTACTATGATTAATCCTCAATTAGTAATGTACTCACCTTAAAAAAAAAAAAGGTACCCAAGATTCATATAAACAATAAATGGCTTGCCTAAAGTCACAAAGTAGGATTTGAACCCAACTGTTTTAATAACTCTTATGTCACCCCCCCCAACCCAGTATGAAAAACAAACTAAACAATAGAGACAAAACGAGCTGAGATTGTAATTAAGATTCACAGAGGCTGGGGAAGCTCAGAGTTCACTCAGCCTTCCTTAATCAAAGACTTTAATGAACACTATTCCTTAAATGCACGGGCTGCTGTTCACTCTTGAGTTATAATGCCTGATTCTTAAATTTTCATCAGGCTCCACTAGAGCTTTTCTTAAAAAAAAAAAAAAAAAAATGCAGGTCACTGGAACTGTTTGATGAAAACTGAAGAAATGGCTAAGTCCCCTAAAGTGTCTTACTTGTGGTTTATGATTTCCACGTTGCCGTACTGCTCAATCCAGAGTTTACCCACAATGATGTTATGCACACAGCAGGTGGGGTTTGTCCATGTATATGCTTCACTGTGTCTAAAAAACAAAACCGCAACTCAGAAAAATAAGTGACAAGTGTTATTTTGTTTAAAAAGTACATTTGCTTCAAATTCCATGACGCGGGCTAACCAATCAGGCTGCTTGAGATAACTAAGCTCTAAGACTTGAAAAACTATTGATGTTAACTTACAATAAAATAGGTATCAGGTGCCTATTCTTACAGTTTCTTAAAAGGAAATAAAAGCTTCAGAAAAAAATTCTATACTTCCACCAAACTCCAAATAAACTAGGTACTTAATCATTTTAAGCATTCAAAAGTTTGTGAGACATATGAAAAATAAAATTAGACGTAGAAAATAAGAATGAAGGTCTATTAAGCACTTTCCAGAGAAAGTACCCTCCACCTCACCAAAGGAAAACACCTGTGTATGTAAATAAACTCCAATTTTTAATCCTTTGCTTCTGAAAAAATTTGTTTTGCATCTTCTATTTATCCTTAGATATATGTTTTTGAATTGTTTTAATTTATATAAAATTCATTTTTGTTGGTGTACAGTTCCATGTTTTAATGCATGTATAGATCTGTGAAACCACCACCAACATAATCAGAAGAGTAAACTCCATCACCCCCTAAAGAATTTGCTTGTGCTTCCCTTGTGTAGTCAAACTCTCCTCCATCCCTAGTCCCTAAACAACCGATCTGTTCTCCATTGTCATAGTTTTACCTTTTTCAGATATCATATATATGGAATGATATACTATGTTACCTTCTGAGATTAGCTTCAATCTGTATAATGCACTTGAAATTCATTCCTATTGTTCTATGTATCAATAATTCATTCTTTCTTATTGCTGAGTAGTAATCCACTGTGTTGATGTACCATGGTTGTTTAACCATTCACCCACTGAAGGACATTTGGGCTGTTTTCAGTTTTTGGTGATTATGAATAACGCCACACTAAACATTTGTATACAGGTTTTTGTGTGAACATAAATTTTCATTTCTATAGGGTAAATACCTAGGAGGATTGCTGAGTCACGTGGTAAACACATGGTTAACTTTATAAAAAACTGCCAAACTGTTCTCCAGAGTGGCTCTACCATTTTACACTCAACACCAACAATATATGGGTTGAGCATTCCAAATCCAAAATTTGAAACTTTTTGAGTGCCAACATGATGCTCAAAGGAAATCCTCCCTGGAGCATTTCAGATTTGGGATGCTCAACAGGTAGGTATAATGCAAATATCCCCAAATCTGAAAAGATCCACAATCTGAAACACTCCAGTCCAAAGCATTCTGGAAGAGGATATTCAACATGTTTGAGACTTCTCGTTGTTCTGTGTCCTTGTCAGCACTTGGTGTTGTCAGTTTTTTAGATTTTAGAGATTCTAATAGGTGTATACTGGTATCTCACTGTGGTTTTAACTTTGTGTTTCTCTAGTAACTAATGCTGTTACGCATCTTTTCATGTGCTTATTTGCCATCCACATATTTCTTTCAATGAGGTATCTGTTCACATCTTTTGTCTCATTTCTTGAGTTGTTTGGATCTTACTGTTGTTTCTTATTGTTGAGTTTTCAGAGTTCTTTATATATTACGGACACGAGTCCTCAGTTGGATATATGATTTCTTTTCATCTCTGAACAGTGTCTTTCATAGAGCAAAAGTTTTTAATTTTGATAAAATCTAATTTATCAATTTGGCCTTTTATGGATTGTAATTTTGGTATTATCTCTATAAGAGATCTTTGCCTAATTCAAAGTCATAAGATTTTCTCCTATGTTTTCTTCCAAAAGCTTTATATAGTTTTACATTTTATTTTAGTCTCTTAGAACTTTTCCTACCTGCCTCCAATGTCCAGTTCTGTGACTTGCTGCTCTGACTCTAAGCCAGGAGATATGGGAGAAAAATATAAAACCAGTAAACTCATATTGGTCTTCAGGGTCTGATTTATCTCCTGTCTGCCTGCTACTATGTACTTCTCAGAGTCTTCAGACTGTTGCTTTACGTCTCTGTCCAGGGTTGCTAGTTGTACTCAGTGTAAGAGACAGGGTAGAGGATGCTTATTCTATCTTGCCTGGATGGAAATGCCTGGGAATTTAAAGCTAATCTTACAAAAGAGAACTAACTCATAACTTACCTAATGTCTAACATGTGCCACACAACTGTCATTTCAATATTTCTCAAGGTGACTTAATTTTGAAGTCTTTAAGCAAAACACTGGCACCATGATATACAGAAAGCTTGTTTCTTAAGAACTGTCACGGAGTGATTAACTGAATTTATCTCAAAATAAATCCAAACACCATAGTCAAACATTGAGTTAAACTATTTACACACCCATGGCTATTGCCATGTTTCTCAAATTCTTTTACATAGAAGTAGTAATTAACACTATGATAAAAGCTGTTTCTTGCTTTTTCTCTAGCTTTTGAATAATAAGGTCAGGGCTGTGTGTAAGTGTATATACTTACAAGTAGATCCACACAAAAAGAGTTTAATGGCTTGATTAGAACTTACTCAAGGAGCTCCAAAGTGATGGTTCCTTTGGGTTCTGCTTCCACACTCTTTCCCCAGAACTTCAGTTTGGGATATATTGAGCCATGAAAGATGAAATCATTGTTTAATCCTTCTGCATGAAATGCGCTGATTGGGGGGTGATGGCTGACCTGTTCAGAGATGAGTCTGAATCCAAGGTCATCTCTTAAAATTAAAAAAAAAAAAAAAAGGGGGGGCAACATTATAATTAACCCCATCATTATGTGTACATTATTGTCATTTAAGTCAAAAAGCAACGTAAAAGCATTAAAGGAGTAAGTTTGACAAAATAAACAATTCTTTATCATCCTCATAAAAGAACAGCTTAACATATGAGAAATTATACAAATGCAACCCCAAACTATTAAATCCAATGTTATTATAAGGCTAGCCACTCTGAACATGCTAAAATAAAGAACACCCACATAAATTTGGGTGATAGTAATATTAATCATGTAAATTTAAAACTTATTGCTCCTTTTATAATAAGAGAAATCTGGTTGTATCCATTTTCAAACACCTAGGGAATAAATGAGATCAAAACTGTGCAGAGAAGAGGCGGAAGATATAGAAAAACTAAAGCCAAATAAATTCCCCTAATTGTTTACAAATAAGAAGCAGGCTAGCACAAGCAAACAGAACTGCACTTGTAAATGCATTCATTGGCTTTATGGCAAAAGTTTATCTTTACACTTTATATGGTTATAAAAAAACCTCCAATCACGTCTTATGATATATATAAGGAGAAAGGGAGGATGATCGATACTACATGATCGGGAATACTGAAATCCTTGCAATTACTTTTTATAATGGAACATTATGTATGTTTCAATATTTTTGACATAGTCTCTAGTAAGTATCATAGAAACAAATACCAAAATTGATAACTGCTCTAGTCATTCATAATTATTGGTGCTAATACATATATTTTTCCTCTTCATTTGAAAAACGATTAATATAAATCATACAACTTCAACTATCCATCTGGAATGGAGTGAAAGACCTCACCGAACTAATTCGTAAGTCTCTCCCAGAAGTGGGTTGAAAGGTTTTCCAGTACGTTCCCACTGAGACGCAACAGCAGATACAGCAAATGCAGCTATACACTGTGGACAAAGCATCAAAACAAGTTAAAAATAGCCTAGCTTGCTCCTCATTCTTTTAGGAGCCAAAATTTTGCTGAAGAATTTTCAAAATTATTTCGAGGAGTTTAATTACTTTGGATTTTTAATACGGCTCTAGCAACGTGATATTGAAACTTGGATATTCAAAATGAAAATGACTTTCAGTCACTTCCTATAGTTATTGCCAACTGTGATTCTCATAATGCCCTAAGAGTGCTACAAATTCTCCCAAGGACTTTTAAAAAAAATTCTCAAACCCAAAGTTACTTTTATTTCATTTAAAATTTTTTAAAAGTACATTTAACTCAACAAGTTAATTGGTGTTAAGTCCAATGAGGTTGGAAAAAGCCAATTTATATAAATGAAAGAACAGAAGGATTTTAGTTTAGAATGCTATTATTTTGTTTCAAGGAGAACAATGTGTCTACTATACTCTGCCTGTATCTAGTGCATTCATGTAAATCACATAAACATCTTCTATTTAAAAGAAAATGAAAAAGTTCAATTTCTTGCTGTCTTTTAACATATATAGCAATGTATATATATTTATATATACACATAAGCACACACATGTATCTATGTGTGTGTGTGTATTCATGCCTTCTTGGAAATACCCTGAGAAAGCCTAAAAGACCAAAGGTTGAATTTTTCCACCTAATATAATGCTACTTTCTAAAACGAAGACTTAAAAAAAGCTCATCAATATCCAGGTTTGGTTACAGACCACTGCCTGCTTCTCTTGCAATTCTTATTGGTCTTTGCACTACGGTGGCACTGACACTCCAAACATGCTGACAGCTTTTAACATTAATATTTCCCAACCTCACACTGGACTTAACACTAACTTTGTGTGTGTGTGTGTGTTTGGGGCGGGTTAGTAGAGAGGTCTCTGGGCCTTAGACCTTTTCCAGGGCTTGCTTGACACATACCTGCATCCTTTCCACAGGATCAGAAAGGGAACTGGCCTTGTGGATGAGGTATGTGTGCTCCATGTATTCAGTCAGTCGCTGAAGGAAGCTCAAAGGCTCATTAAATATGACTGGCATGGTGATCTTGGATAGCTCCTGTTTAACCAGAAAACAAACTGTTATGTACAATACACACAGCAACGTATCTGCTGTTATCATTATATAACACATTCCTAGAAAGGAAGTAACAAAAAATAGCGATTACTATTTTTCATTAATGGTAGTTCAATTTCACAAATCTTTCCAGAGCACCTAACAACATGGAGTAGACTGTTCTAGGCCTTGAAGGAAATACGAAGATGAAGCAAATGTTCTCCATGGCTTCTATGAGCTCACTATGTGGTGGTGAGCGTGAGTGGATGACTACTAATAAGTCAGCCTTATGTCAGAATAAGGAAATGGGGCATAAAGGTGATGGGAACACAAAGCAAAAATCTTCATAGTGTGGTGTGAATTAATTGGGGTGTCACTAGGCTAAGACAGATCCGGTGACTTGGGTTCCTACATAAGCAAACTAAAACCCAACTCAATGTAAACTTAAGCATTACCAATCAGAGACCACCAAATGTACCTCTAATTAGGGACTTTCCACTTTAACCTATTAAATATATTCTTTATCTTGCTCCTGCAAAGAACGCCTTATCACAACTTCCCCCTCCAGCCCTCTCTGTGGGACAACTGACCTCCTTGAGATGCGGGGCTGCCCAAGTCATGAATAACTGTCTGCTCAAGTAAATTTGTTAAAATTTCAGTATGTCTATCTTCTAACAGTAGGCTAAAGATCAACCATGTATCCCATTTTTGTGGGTAATTTTCCAGAAGAAATTTTAGACTGTTTTTGGTGGACAAGATTAAGCTTTCCTGAGCATGCCAATCTAGTATCAGCTGTGGACTAGGGTACTAGAAGGCTATTGTGTATTTTACGGAATAGATTTTCAACTCTGTCTGCTAGAATGATGCCATCAGAGTAGACTCTCAAAAATAATTTAACAACTGGGTAGGGTTTCTGACCTGAATTAAAATCTTTCAACTCTGTTTACCATGTGCTGTCAGCAAGCAACAGCATTGTGAGGCCTTTAAAAAATTCATTAAGTAACACACTTATCTTGGTGTTCACTGGAATATTCTGATGATCTTCCCAAACTTCTACCTGCCATTGCCCTGGGAATCAGGTCTTTCATGAAGCCTCTTGGCTAAAGTCACATGGTCAGGTGAACAGTCCTGAGGTGCAATGCAGGCTGAATGCCACCTGACACAGCCCTGACCTTCTCCCCCTAAATGTTTACGTTTTTACTGAGCTACTCAGTTCTGGGCATGTTAATAAATGCTGTTTATTAATGTGTTTGCCAAATTTAAAGCAAAGTCCATCTAAGGATATATCATGAACTATTTAATCATGTATCTTTAAGAATATAGGTAAATATGCCTCTTTTTTTTTTTTGGCAAATATGGCTTTTAAGTAGATTCCTCTAAGTGGAGTTCCTGGGTCAAAGGCATGCTCATTTTTTTTTTTTTTTTTTAACACATACTACGCCAAACTGAACATTTTCTAAAAGGGCTTTACCAATTTACACTCCCATCCATGCTGCATGAGAGTCAACATCTTTGATGTCAAAAGAGATGTATTACTTCCAATCTGTCCATTCAGTCATGTTCACTGTTTCATTAAACACTTACTTAACTGAGCACCTGCTATGTGTCATGTCAGGTGCTGTGTCAGGCACTGGATTAAAAGCCTCATTACAGCCACTGGGCCTGGAGCCCTGCTCTCTTCCCTTAATTCCTCCATGTCCTACCCAGATTTCAAGGCTCAGTTCAAGTCTTTCCTCCTCAAGTATTGTAGCACTCGTGGATTTACTGCTCCTTCCTGCTCTTGGAGTACCAGAATCTATTGCTCACAACTTAGCATTTCATCATAAATTAGATTATATTACCTGTTGTTATGTCACACGTACTAACCAGCTTATTGTGCCAACTTTAATACAATTCCTTAAGAAAGGGACAGTATCTTATACTCTGCCGACATCCTCATCACCTCAAGGAGAGAGAGGTACACTGCAGGTGTGCCCTGCCCAGAGGTATTCCCACCGCTCCTTGACTTTATTCCTTTTCAGGCATTTCTCATCTTGCACTGCACTTCTCCTGTCGTCTTCACTGGACAACAAGCTCTCTGAAGACAAAACTCCTGTTTAAGGATGTACTACAGTTAACGTGGCAAAATGCTGAGTAAAAAAGTAGGTTACTTTTGGAATATTATTCAATGCTAAAAAGAAATGAGCTATTAAGCCATGTGAAGACATGGAAGAAACTTAAATGCATATCGCTAAGTGAAAGAAGTCACTCTGAAGAGGCTACACACTGTATGACTCCAACTATATGACTTTCTGAAAAAGGTAAAACTATGGAGATGGTAGGAAGATCAGCGGTTGCCAGGGGTTAGGAGGGAGGGAAGGAAGGTTGAACAGGTGCAGCGCAGAGGATTGTTAAGGCAGCGAAAACACTGTGTATGACACTATCATAGCAGACACACGTCTTACACGAATGCACAACACCAAGAGCGAACCCCAATGTAAACCATGAACTTCGGGTGACTGATGCGACTGTCAATGTGGGTTCATCAATTCTAACAAACGGACCGCTCTAATCTGGGGAGGGCCTGGCAATGGGAGGCCGTGTATGTGTGGGGACAGTGTCTGGGAACTCTCTGTACGTTCCTCTCAATTTTGCTGTCAACCTAAAACTGCTCTAAAAAGTAAAAGTCTTTTAAAAAATAAAATTTAAAAAATAATTTTAATCAATCATGCTTAAGGAAAGATCAAATGATCTTTCTAGTCCTGCTACAGAAAATATAACATTGTCACGTGTGATAACAGAATATGTAGCCAAAAATGGAAGAAAAAAGTATAGAAGAATATCAGGCAGTTAATTATGAAAAATTTATTATTATTTTGGATTTATATTGTTTGTGGTATCTCTCAGTTATTGACACTTCAAAATGTTATTTTTCCTCATTCTAAATAAACATTCGCTTTCATACCTAAAAAAATAGGTTACAAAGCAACATGCTCAAAAATATTCTATTCATAATTTTATTAAATATGTTTTTATAGACATAGAGACAAATACTAGAAGATCATAGCACCAAAACGTTAACAGTGGGTATCTCTAGGAGTTGGTAGTACAAGGAATCTGAATTATCTTCTTTATGCTTTTCTGTATTTTCCAAATTTCCTAAAATGAACATCTAAGCTCTTCTAATCAGGAGTAAAACAAGAGATGCTATTTTAAAACCTAACGATTTCAGATTGGCAAAAGGAAAGGACAGGGAAGCCAAAACCTCAGCCACCGAAGCTGGTCCCCCTGACAATACATACATTTACATTTATGCTAAACATTACATGGACAAGGGGAAATCGGTGAGTAAGTCATAGGACAGAAAAAGAAGGCAATGAAATACATTCAGATTAGTCCACTCCTAAGTTGCAGAAACAGTAAAGTATTGTGGTTAAAAGAATGAGCCTGGAACAGAAAGTGGCGTGGTGGTTGCCAGGGGCTGGGATGAGGGCATGAGCAGTTAGTGTTTAATGGGGACAGAGTATCAGTCCTGCAGATTGACAGCAGCGATGACGTGAGCAGACTTAGTGCACCTGAACTCTACACTTAAAAATGGTCAAGGTGGTATATTTTATGTTGTATGTATTTTACCATACTTGAAAAACAAAGAAAAACCATGGGCTGTGAGATCAACTCCACTGCGTTCAAATCCTAGTTGTACTACCTGCTGCTTGTGTGGCAGTGAGCAAGTCCCCCCCTCTCAAAGTGGAGACAATTTCATTACATACCTCAAGGACTTGTAAAGATTAGATGAATTAATTCATATAAAACACTTAGAATAGTGCCAGGCATATATTAAGTGAACAATAAATGCTAGCTAGCTATTATCATTATTATGAATAATGCACACAAGATTTCCAAGTCCTCCAAGGCGGCGTGGAAGTAAGGATGCCGCAAAGGCTGGGCTACTTCGTCCTATCCCACGGGCTGCCGGGCTGTGGAGAAGCTACTCAGACGGCAGCGCAGCAGAGGGGTCTGTGCTGAAAAGGCAAAGGAGGGACGGGAAGGACACTGCTCCCCCCCCAAAGCCTTGGCCAGGAGAGGTCCAACACCAGGACTTCAGGGGTTCACTGCAGTGGCGACTAGTGACAGCTGTTTCGTGACCCATATGTGACACAGACTGCCGTTTCAGGCTCAATTCTTTTCCTATGTTCTACGTTTCACCTTGTTGTGCACAACAGCCAGGTGAGATTTGTCTTAAAGGAATTTAAAAGGTTTAATCATTAAAGCAATGAAGAACTTTACTTGTAAGTTTGATTCTAGATTATTTTCTCCTTGAAAACACTACAAGGACTATAATATACTCAGAGGAAATAAGAGGTGCACTGGGAATGACTTTTTAGTATTTATAGGATAGGAGTGCTTCCATCAAAGGGCTTTTGCTTTGTTTTCTCAGAAACGCTGGCCTTAGGGACTTAATCTTGCAGCTCTAAGCAATGCCATGTGTGTTGCTGTTTCTCCGCATACAGCTCCACAGGAAAACATGCAACACAGCAGGTGGGGCGGGCGAATGTCTACTAGCCACGGCTGCGCCACACCAGCTGGCCGGGCTTTCGTGAGTCAGACATCTAGGACAAAGAGTTCAGCGTAAACTGGAGACCACAGCATGAAGGACATGGGTTTATCATCAATGCAATAAGTAGATTTACTTCTTAATCATTTGGAAGGCTCCTAAAATTCTAAAAGTTTCTTTGAATAAAATTTTGTAATCTAGAATAATTTAAACACCTTTCTTTTGGTAACTCAGAATGTAAGCATTCAAGGAAATGGAGAGTCCCACAGCTGGGCCAGACAGAGAGGGAGTGGGAGGGAAAGAAGAACTGAGAATACCTGCACACAAATCCAGCCTGCCATAAAAACCATCCCGACCTCTTGGAAGAGCAGAACATGCTTTTTTAAATTGTAGCAACTGACTTACAATCTTAATGCCTCCATCATCTGTAATTATTTTAAAATAATCTTACAATTATTTCAATTGTTAA